AGGAAACTTTTGCTTATCTATGTACCCTCAAGGAAATTAAAATTATAAATCAAACTAACCAGTTCCCCAGAACATTAGGGAACCTAAAATGGAACTTAAATTTACATATGGCAAATAATGGCTTGTCTGAAATTGTACGTTAAGATCTACCTGGGCAATGGACAGGTGTATGAATAAAAATATATAATTAGGAAATAAATAACAATAAATAGGGAGTTTAAGCTTCTGGAGACAATCACAATATAATGAATTGTAATGAATAGTATGCATAATATCCTAATTAATATAAAAATATGGCCAGAAGATGCCATATCTCTTCAATCTGGAAGTTTGAGAATGGACCCAAGATAATGCAGAGTGGTGAAAGTTTAACGTATCCCCAGTCTTTGTTTTTAAAATAAAATTCCTATGCCCCAGAGAAGATGAAAAGTAAAGCGGGAACAATGAAGATACTGTTGCCTTGTTTTCCCAGTGAACTGGGATTAAAATAAAATGCAGCAATGCATGGTTATAGATTTGGATTAAGACACTTCTCCTTGAATTACAATTTCAACCATCATTTACAAATTCACTCAATAAGGCTTAATGTATCACAGAAATTAGTCCAAAAGAACTTGAGCAAAATGGCAGACTAAATTCAGTACAATACTTCATACAGATATGCATATGTATAAAGATGAACCACAAGGGTGCTCCTACTGCCACACCTTGCTTGTAAATCAGGAGGATGTAAGTCTTAGGTTGCTGGAGTTGTGGTATCTACTGACTCTTTTCCTAAATGGCAGACTAAATTCAAATACAATACTTCATACAGATATGCATATGTATAAAGATGAACCACAAGGGTGCTCCTACTGCCACACCTTGCTTGTAAATCTGGAGGATGTAAGTCTTAGGTTGCTGGAGTTGTGGTATCTACTGACTCTTTTCCTAAAGTCAGCCATCTCTTATTGATGCATTTATGTCTTCTTTAGTTCCGCCTGCAAAATGTTCCCTAAACAATTATGGGTGACTTATGAGTCTGATAAATCCTTTTCATACACTCTTGACTATAACAAACACAACCACACTATTATGCTGATTTGATATTTTGTCCCTGTAATATTCATTTGCTGTTTTTACCCAGCTGTTATGTTAACAGACAACACACAATACTATAACAATGCGATTGCATTCAAGAAACCAACCACTTTCCACCCACAATCAGCAACAGCTGTGCTCAATAAAAGTAACAGTTTGCAAGTAGTCACTAGAGAATACTCCTTCAACACTTACGCCTATTGCAAATTTTGCAAAAGCTCTTAGGATTTTGAGGCAGCATATACCGCTCTTTAACATTTTATAAATCTGTATCACCTTTAAAAAGCCCTACCAGTGCATTTCTACAATCCACTTAGGAAAATAATAACTTTTTTGATGATTTTTCCAGAATCTCCATGTTTTTCATTCTCGGTCTTAATTACACTGAAGATCCAAAACTAACACAATTCTATATATGAATGAAAATCAGAACATTTCACTAGGAGCAGTGATAAATATATGTCAAAATCTTTTTTTATATAAGCAAGCAGGAATTTCTAGAACATGCTTGTGCAATTAGGTAATGAAAAAGAGCTTCATATGATTACAACAGTTCCTTCATGCTGACAAGAAGAAAGATTGCAGGAGCATTCTTAAATAACTTTGGAAATTAAATTGAGGTTTTTAAAATAGGCATAATACAATTTATTTAAGCAGAATTGTTACAAAATTTAAAGCAGATCAGAATCTGCATTTCCTTTAAAATGTTAAAAGTTATGGATTCCCATGTGATCCCTTTTATAGCTAAATGGCTTCTGATGCTTTTTCCTGATGGCAACCAAGCAAGCTTCTTGGGATTATCCCTTCTTACCCAAATTGGAATAAAGAAAATTGATGCACTATTGTTATTTATCACTATATTTGCAGTTCCAAAAACATATCTGTATTAACAACTACAGTAGCTGAGTTTCCTCAACCGAAGCCTTTCTAAATCTAAAACTTTATCTATTCTACTTGTTTCAATTGGTTTTTTTCATCTCAGGTCCCACTCAATGTGTCAAGGCTGCAACTCTAAAAATCTGTGCAGCTGGGAATTGTGGGAGCTGTAGTCCCAACATGTTTTTACTTAAACAGGTCGGGGAAAGTAGACGAAGATTTCTCCTTTCAAATGTTAAACAAGCCTGTGTTATAGCACACATTTCCCCCAAAAGTATATCTTTGATTGTTCTTTTTAAAAATTATCCTTGGGCTAAAATTCCTTTAAAATTCTTATATTGCTATCAATGTAGGCCACATATGCATGTTAATTTTAATCAGGATTTCCCACATATCATTTCCCCCCCTCAAGTCTTCTGTGATCTTTTAAATTTATACGTGTCCTATTTAAAGCATGATAACCAAAGGTGGACATGAAATGTCAGCTGAGCCTTATTATGCTGTTTGTGTCATATTTTAAATGTGCAATAGAACTGGATTCTCAGAGCAATTATATGGAAGCTATACTAAACAGAAAAATATTTTTTTCCTTAGGACAAAATATGGTATTGCCATCACTGATTTCCTGTCTTAACATTTTTTTTCCCTTGGACTCTTAAAATATCAACTGTTGTTTCTAGATTAGGTTCCAAAATGGAATTGCTTTGGGATATCTTTTGTATGTAAAGGGAAAACATGAAACCTTACAATATATTGTCTATGGAAGAGCTGTTGAAGAAATAATAGTAAAGTTAATAAAGTATAAATCAGCATATCATAAATTATTGCTTCTATGATTATTAACTGTTGAGATGAAACCAGAGGGAGACACTGCTTTTCTACTGGAAAAAAGTTCATAATATCTAATGTAACGTGTTATGGGATAGGTACACTAGGTACACACACATTGTTAATATACATTAGAATAAAGATATCTTTTATTGGAATAAAGGAAATGCATGTTCCTTTTGCCTAGTTTATCACAATTCAGTAGCCTATTTGATAGCAATAGCTTTTGTTTCTTTCATACAGTTGTTTGAAGCTATTATGTAAAACTTTATTATGGTAAGATGGGACAGAAACACAATATTTCCTCCACTCTAACAGATTGTCAACATTTTACAATCTCATGAGGTTGTGTTTTAAAAACAACAACCTGTAGACAGTAGCAAGTGATAGGATTCCCAATTTAAAACTTCATCTACTGCTCTGCAGGTAAACTAGCTGCTAAATGCACAAGTGTATAGGTCAAGAGGTCAACTTCACTGCAGCACCAAATGCCTTCAGTGCTATCTTCAGGATCTCAAATCTTTAATTCCAAATATCCAAATCTCACAATATCGTATACTTCATTAGATTGTGGTACTGCTATATAAAATTAGGAAGATTTCAAGTGAGAAAGCCAAAATCTTGCAATTTCTCTCAAGAATTCAGAAGGTTTAATACAGAAGAAAGATAGTGTAAATATCTACATAAATACAAGCACAGAAATAAATCATTTTTAATTGTTAAAGTACCCTTCTGACACAGGCACATTTGTACGTCATCAAGCAATGTGTGTCCTGCCTGAAAATATAGTCTACTTTGGACAGTCACTATGTTCTACAGAGCTGGCAATCCTACACCCTTTATTTCCATCAAGCATCTTCTATGATTAAACTCCTTGTTTGTAATCAAGCACAGAGATGGTAAAAGGAAACCATTTCCCACTATTCCATAATATTTGTATACCTTAGCAGAGTGCTTAAAATCTTATTGGAGAGTTAAAGAAATTAGTATAATTAAAAATAGACTGTTCTAAGTAAGCTCCTGTCTAAATGCTTTAGAAGAGTTGAAAAATAAAACTACGTGTAAGCCAAATTTAGACAATACAATGTCTATCATGGTGTTTTTCCTGGCTGTGACTGCATCTTATTTTCCCCTACAGTTATCATCGTGAAGGCTCTCAGCTGGATAGGTATGCATGGGTAGAGTGGGAGGGGGAGGAGATTCATGGAGCAAGACTCAAAATGACTGGGTATAGTCCACAGGCCATATGTTTCCTGCCCCTGGTAAACAAAAGGAAAGTTAAAGCAAGTTAAAGGCTAAATAATGTACATTTAAGTATGCTTGGGAATGCCCCTTTGGCAATTCTAATTTGTGTTAGTGATTATGATAATAGAAAAAGGCCACAGCATTTATTGCAAATTAATTAATCTGGAATAAGTGTGTGATCTTATTACTTCCCCATGGGATCCCCAGATTTGTAAATTTTTTTGTTACAGATTATTCTGCAAGAAATGTTAATCATCCAATGCTTAGTATAATATTATGTCAAATTCTATCAGTACAGCCCAAATACACACACACAAACATATATACAAACACACACAGATTGAATTATAATAAAAAGACTAATTTACCCTTTAGCAAAAGTAGGTGTTGCACTGTGGCGTTTCTTTTTAATCAAAGTAGAGCAAGACAGGGAAAAATTAATGTCAACAACATAATTTACAAAAATAGCCCTCCTGCTCTGTTGCTCACAAATATTTTCAAAAAACAGTGCTCTGCATGCCAATGCTTTGGCTTAGTGTAGTTTACTTTTATGTCATTAACACTCTGTGCCGTAAGCATAACTCAGAGCTAGGGATTCCAACTCAAAATGAACCTCAGTTAAGATTCCAGCTCTCAGTTGTGCTGGCAGAAAGATTATTCTCTTCAGTGATAAAGAAGACAATATCCTAGGGAGACTGGAATTAGTCCTACTCTGTGCCATTCAAGACTTATCAAAAAGCAAGTAATTGCTAGCTAGCTAATGGCTAGGGAAGATACAATACATATTCGGGCTAAGTATATCTTGGTAAACAACTAGCAAAAAAGAAAAAAAATGAAGGAAGAAAAAAGGTGATCATATATATTTTTACCAAAGGGGGGGGGGAGAGAGCAAGAGCAGGAAAGAGAGGGAGGGAGGGGGGGAGAGAGTGGAGGGAGGGAGAGAGAGAGGGAGGAAGGGAGGGAGGAATTACCTCTTCTGATTGTGATGGACTGATTCTGGGCATTGGTGATACTTGTGGTGTTTTCAAATGTGTATTATTGCTGTCTGGAACGAGTTCTCTATGGACTGACTGGATGTGATTCTGAAGTTCACTTTCTGATTCGAATTTGACATTGCAACTTGAACATCGAGTCTTCAGTCCTCCTTTGCTTTTGTTCTCAGTGGAACTCAGGTTCTCATTCTGGCCCATGCCTTGCCTATTACTGCTTGAAGGTATGTTGATACCAGGGCTACTACTTTTGCTGAGATTAACACAAGCAGCACACAGACCATATGGTAAGCCATTAATGTCAAGTTTTACCAAGTCCTGTTTTGAGCGAAATTCTTTCAGGCAAGAAGCACATTTATACAATTTCTGAAGATGCTGTATGCGCCCTGTAGACTGCACTGCGGCACTGGTGCCCGTCTTTTGCATGTGGAACGTCCCATGGATCTTCAGCTCCAAAGTAGAAGTCACTGTCTGCATGCAAACCACACATCGGAATCCTGTTAAGGAGTTTCGCAAGTCAGGATGCATCTGACAATGCTCTAAGAATTCTTCCTCACTCTGGAGTGGCATTTTGCAAATCCTGCAGTTTCCTGTATCAAGGCTCTTACTGTGCGTGACCTTATGTTCAGTGAGAGTCAGAAGTGAAGGGAATCTCTCACCACATATTGGGCACATATAGTGTTTCACTGGACCCAAATGTGTCTGCATATGTTCACGAAGCCCATTTTCAGAGAAAAATGTTCGTGAGCACACATTACATTTGTAGTTCCCTTTTATGAGCTCTGCCTTTTTCTTTATTATGGCACTTTCCCCAGGTCGGATATTGTGATCCCGAAGTTGGTGGTTTTGCAAGAGAGACTCCATTGTGTAGGCTGCTCCACAAATGTCACAACCATACATTGGTTCAGATGTATCAACATCTTCTTCACTTCCATCATGGCTGTTGTGTGATTCCTGGCTGTTTGTCAGCAATGTCTGTAGCTCTACTTCTTCCTTCTGAACTGGTTCAGATGCTCCATTGGTTCCACAATTGGGAGTTTTTGTTTCAAAAACGCAATGTTTCTCCCTCAAGTGTTTTTCCAGCAATATGATAGCATGAAATGCTTTGCTGCAGAACTTGCAGTTGTATTTTTTGCTGTGTGTTGTGATGTGGCACTGGAGTTCCACTTCAGTACCAAAAGACTCACCACAAAAAATACACTTGTGTACTTTGCCTTGATTCTCCAGATGATTGTGCTTAACATGGAGCTGCAAGTCTGTCTCATTACGGAAATCCCAGTTGCAAGATGTACACCTATACACCTTCTTCTCATTGCTATGTTTCACAGCCAGATGAAGCTGAATGGAAACTTTTGAATCAAAGACCTCTTGACACAATGTACAACGGAAAAACACAAAGGTGTGCATGTCAAGCAAGTGCTTTTGCAAATCATCCACTGAAGTAAACTGTTTATCGCAGCTTTCACAGATGTAGTATGTGGAGGTTATCATGAAATGGATGGTCACATGCTTCAACAGGGACTCCTGGTTTGGAAACTCCTTATTGCACTGAGGGCAAGTCAATTTGGGCAGGACAGTGTCAAGGTGTGTTTTTAAATGAGTCTGAAAACCGTCCAGAGAGGTGTATTTAGCACCACACTGATTGCAGATGTACTCACCAGCAGGGCGCTGAGGAGCACCACCAACAGCCTGCATCATCTTTAATGATGCCTGTTCTATAGTAACTGGAGATAAAGGACTCATGGCTCTAGATTTCTTCCCATTATGGATGTAATTTAATGCTAATGGAATGTTCTTATGATTCTCCTTTATATGCTTATTCAGTTTAAGAACACTATTAAATATTGGAGAATTTGTGCAGTAAGAGCAAGAATATACTTCAACAACAGGGTCTTTAGGGGTACCTAACACAGGAGAACCAAAACGAGAACTGCTAAGATCACAATGGACTTGTCTAATATGCTCTTCCAAAGAAGAATCAGTAAGAAATCCCATATAACAATGAGGACAAAAGAATGCATTACTGTCTTTAGCAGCTGGATTTCCAAATCCATGAGTACATCGAATATGTTCCTGAAGGGAGTTGAGGTCGTTGAAAACTTCTGAACAGAAGTTACACTGGTAGATCATAGCAGGCATGGTAGAAACTATCAGTGCAGGATCTGGTGCTTCATGTATTTGTTTCAGATGCTCATTTAGGTTGTAAAGTGAAGGTAACACTTCTAAACAATACTGACAAATATGGGCTTGTTCAGGTTTATCTAAATGCATAGTTTTCAAATGTATTTGCAGTACTGCAAGGCTTGAAAATAACTGCTTGTTGCAATAAATGCAACTATAAGCAACCTTGGCTTGTTTATTTGAAGCCCCAGTGATATCTGCCACCTGCTGGGCTGTCCGTTTTCTTCCACGTCCTTTTGTGATTGGGGGAACCGCTTCAACCATAGTTGAACTGTCTACTGAGAGATTTGAATCTGGAGTAGTGCTAGAGACTGAGGTGTAACCAACTGTCACTAAAGAGGGACTGTTACTATGGTTGCATGATTCTGGCTGCTGGTGACTATCCATGTGGCTATATAGCTCTTCGACAGTATGGAAGTTCTCTGAGCAAATACTGCACATATGTTTTTTTTCCACTCCATTATGAGCCTGTTCCATGTGATTTACTAGTGAACTTTCCTCTATAAAGAGTTCGTGACAGTAAACACACTGAAGAGCAGCTCGGTCTTCATTTGGGGAACACTCTGGGTGGCATTCTGCTATGTGTTTCTGAAGATCTTCTGGAAAATCGAAACCTTCTTCACACTGACTGCATTTCTGAGTGTCCTTCATTTTCCATTCCTCCATCCGGGAGGCAGATTGAGAACTATCTTTGTTCCTCTCATGAACTTGCATGTGTCCATGAAGTGAACTAGAGGAGAGAAATCCACGTCGGCAAATGGCACACTTATATGGCTTGTTAGAGGTATGAGTCTTCAAATGAATTTTAAGGTGATCACTTCTTGAAAATGCTGCATCACATTCGCTACAGTGGTACTTCTTATCTCCTGTGTGAAGTTTAATATGGCGATCTCGGCTCCGCTTATGTTTGAAGAGGCGGCTGCAATAGGTGCACTTGAAAGGGAGCTTGTCGCTGTGACTTTGCTCGTGATGCTTTAAATAGCTGAGGCGGCTAAAAGACTTGTCACAAAACTGGCATGGGTAGGGCAATCCTGGGCCACCTTCTTCTTCACCAAAGTCACAACCATCTCCATGGCTTGGGGAAGTCTGATCTTTACTAGAGGGTGAAGAAGCTGGCCATGAGCAGGAAGGATCATCTTCAATATCTACTCCATCTGAAAAAGGAAGAAAGGGGGAAGGAAAGGGAAACATGTTTAAAGGTTTCTTGTTCAGACAATGTTTAACATCAGTACATGTGCATTTAATCAGAGGATTAATTGATAAAGATGTAATGCTGCATAACATGGATGTGTTACATTTTCCCTCCCTTATCCATTTGCATCTTATACACTACTATTTTAAATCAAGATTATAAAGCTGAGAATAATTATAAAGAGTCTCTTCTTTATTTTTTTATCATTCAGTTACTTAAGGTATATTATATATAGTCAACTTTATTAAAATGCAGATTTTAGAATATTTAAAGTTTCTTTTATATTCTCTAAGAAATAATTTGTAAAACATGATAGTATATGAAAAGTTCATTGTATAAAAAATAGATATATATTTAAAAATGAAGTTAATTTAGGTGTAAAACTCTTAATTGTAAAAGAGTTTATTGAATTTCCTAGGCTTCAAAGAGACACATAGGAATTAGTTTTGAATGCAACATGGTTTGGAACAGCAAACCATGGTACAGCAATTTTGATGTATAGATAGCAACATCAGCAAGCATACTGCTAAATATTACTTCAAAGTTGGAAAACAAATACTACTTCATCAAACATTTCTTTGAGCATCAAAAATCAAAAGTCTTCATAATTATCATAATTTAAATTATTTTTAAATGAAATGGACCCATATCAAAATGTAATGGGTTTTTTTTATACAAAAGGCAGCCCAAACAGGTACAGATACAAGTCTGTGCCTTTTATATATATAAAAGGAGGAAAGGTTGAAAACTTGAAAATGATCAGAAGGAGCAATTACTTTCAGCACTCTGGGATCTTAAAGAAAATGAATCATTTGAAAGGGAAATGTAGGAGATTTACTAGGCCGAGCCCAAGGGAGGGGTTAAGTGGTCATCAGTTTGGAGTCCCCTCGCACCCACAAGTAGTCTAAATCCATCCTTGCTTGAATTCCATTGACTCTTATCTACTGCCAATTTCCTAAATTTCCATATGTCCATATTCTTGTTTAGAGGTAACTTTGAATAAACTTGTACTCATTTTGGACCTAACCCTGGCTCCCAATTTCTTGTGCTTGACAGGAAAGGAAGAAGAAATAAAAGGAAACTTATCTTGAAGTCCTAGCAGTTTACAATACAGAAAGGTAGCCTAGTGCCCACCATATATTTTGAATTAGAACTCCCATAAAATCCAGATACAATAGATTACAAGCAGGTATTATGGATAGTAATATCTGGAAGCACCAGGTCATCAACTCTTTCTCCTACTCTACATTAGACTGGAATAGGACAACTATCTGGTCTGCAGCATTTTAAAAATATATAGCACTGTGAGAGGTTTCAAGACACACAGGTAAGAAAACAGTGAATTTTCTCCTCTTCTTGTGTATACATAAAAAATTGACTTTCTTTGAGCGCCTTTTCCAGGCTGTCTAGGCCTTTCTTAAAAGGTACTTCTGAAGCAGGCTGCAGTATTTGTGTTCAAACAATTTTGTAGTTACTAAGAAGCAACATAATGAATGTATGTCTAATAATAAATGAATAGGTATTAGATTTATGGAGTCAGCTCAGGTTAAGTGAAAAGAGTGAATTGCACAAAAGCGTAATTCTTCTGTGTGTTTTGTACTTTTAAAGTTCAAGAGGTTGCCCACCATTTCTTCCTTTCTGCAAAAAACCACAGTGGCTTAACTTCCTTAATAAAACAGAGTCGAACATTTAGATGATCATAGACAAAGCAACTTGAAAAAAACCCTGGGAAACAGGAACAAATGATAAATTATTATGATAAAAGCTGAAAGATTTATAAGTAACAAAAGAAAACACAAGCAAGAACACAAATCAGTTAGTTAACTTCAACTATTTAGCCATTATGCTAAGTCATTTATGGAATTCAGACTTAAACTATAGAATAAATGCCATAGTCATTGGTCTTTCCAGTTGATGTGATCAAATAGAAGTCTAGTGTTGAATTTTACTTCCCACCGACTGCAGAATTTCTGAAGAGTTTTATAGCTTGTGGCTTGTTTTGCTGAATGCTGCCAGAAGGATCATTCTGGTAAGGTCCTTACCTTACCTCTGCTATGCTAGCAGAATATTGTACACTTGTACCAGAGATGTTTGTGGAACTACTCACAAACAGAACAATACTTAACACCATATTCTATGATGTCTTGAACCAATTTCTTAATAAAGATAAGATTGTTCCCAACTACGGATTTAAAGACAATTTATCTCAAAGTTTAAGATTCAATTTGCTACATTAAATTGAGCCCTAGTAGTATTGTAGGCTAATTCTGCCCATAGTCTGAAGTTCGATCCTGACCAGGTTGATTTTCTGAGGTCGGTAAAATGAGGAACCAGATTGTTGGAAGCAATATGCTGTCACTGTAAACTACCCAGAAAGTACTGTAATGAATTATGGGGCAGTATATAACTCTAAGTGCTATAGTTATTAAAATGAATGGCACAGTATTATTTATTATTATTATTTATTTATTTATGAAACTTATATACCGCTTTAAGTGCAAGCACTCTCTAAGCGGTGTACACCAATAAGCAATGTGTGTGTGTGTGTGTGTGTGTATATATATATATATGTATATATATATATGTGTGTGTGTGTGTGTTGTGTGTATGTATATGTGTATATATATATATATATATATATATATATATATATATATAGGTCTTTGGTTGTTCGGGTTTTCTCCCGCGTAAAATTGGAAGTGACTTGGCGACGTTTCGACGAAGTCCCATTCGTCATCTTCAGGCTGGTGTTTTCAGCTTCGTGCTTTGAGCACATTGAGCACATTGCTGCTCAAAGCACGAAGCTGAAAACACCAGCCTGAAGATGACGAATGGGACTTCGTCGAAACGTCGCCAAGACACTTCCAATTTTACGCGGGAGAAAACCCGAACAACCAAAGACCTACATACAAATACCTGCGAAAACCTATATATATATATATATATATATATATATTATATATATATATATATATATATATATATATATATATATATACACACACACACACACACATTGCTTATTGTATAAATATATATATTTACATTGCCCCCAACAATCTGGGTCCTCATTTTACCTACCCCGGAAGGATGGAAGGCTGAGTCAACCTTGAGCCGGTGAGATTTGAACCGCTGACCTGCTGAACACAGTCAGCTAAAGTGGCCTGCAGTACTGCACTCTAACTGCTGCGCCACCTCGGCTCATAACTTGAACTTTGTTTTAAAGTTTGAATTACAGCTACTTGCAGCTCAATGTATCAGTAAAGTTTCCCCCCCCACACAAAATTACTGGATTTAAAAAAAAAAAAACCGCAAGCTATCAGATACATTTTGGCTTGTGCATTATCTTGTATGTCATGAGACTCAGGAGATGGGCCTTTTCTATCACTACACCTGTCTTCTGGAACAACATTCCCCAGTGATATGTACGGTTCCTACCCCACTTTAATTTGAAAGGTAATTAAGAAAACGCTTTTTTTCCCCAAGCCTTGGATTAGAGTGACTGTTGAGGATCTTGTAGAATTTTGTCCATTGAGCCAGTTGTTTCTCTTTTCTGCTTTATTATAAGGTTTTCTCTATTGATTTTATGGCACATCAATCAATCAGCCAAGTCTCCTGATTATAAGTGGTGTAAAAATGCTTGTATATATAAAAAAACACCTCATAGCTGAAATAACATCACATATTTTATTGTATTTGATAGGTAATATTATCAATGTTTTCTTAAAGTGTTCATTGACTAAAAGGAAAAGAAGAAAGACTGTCCAAATACTGGAGAAAACAATTCATAAACGAGGACTACAATACTAATTTCCATAAAAACCTACGTTCTCTTAATACAAATTGCCATTTCAGCTTATAGAAACATTCCAACACTGCTTTCTTTAAAGTAATAACATTTTACTCAATTCTGAACCTTTTGTTTATCCACAGGAAACAGATGAGGATTTGTCCCTTTCCTGCATCTCAAAACCGACAACACCACCATCTCATTATCAATGCCAGACAGCAGCCAACTAACTCTGAAAAAACAATCAACCCCATTCCTGGATCTTTGCCCACTGCAACAATACTTTTAACTCAAGTTAAGCTCTCAACAGTTTCTATCTTCTTCTTTAGTACTCTGAAAAAGCTTTCCTTAAAATATGTCTGATTCCTGACAGAATCTCTAAACTATTCCATAAACAATGTCTGGAACTCTACAGAAAACAAATACCTGGAGGAAGATTCAATTTAAAATCCAATACATGTGAATATAAATGAAGCAGAGAAAAATAGTTTATTTCATTTGTGCATGTGTTTCTGCTTTATTTGCAATGAAAGATAGTGACATCAGTGTCAGGTACTAAGTAAAGTTGTGGGCAGAAACATTTTTGAGGGAATATGAAAATTTTGGAGGACAATATACAGTAGTCAAAAAAATAAACAATAATGGAACAAGCCCACAAAGAACTCCGGAGGTTTTATAAACATTTGGACAAGAACCACTATGGTTATTGTTTGGGGCACCAGAACTCCATAAAAAACAGATACATTTTCTTTGGTGGTACTTTAAATATAAACTGTCCATAAAATATGTTGCCCAATTTTAAGAACACGAGGCTACATTATCTCTTAATTTAAAAAGAAAAAACATAGGAAATAACAATGTAAATGTTAGTATGGAAAAATACATACATCTGCCTCTCTCAGCTACATATACAGAGAAAGATTTTGTATATATAATACTAATCCAATACTCCTCCAGATGCCTGGTACTTTTCATTTAACATACTGAATAAATGATTCCATTTTTTAATGTTCTGATTTCTTTCTCTTTTCAGAAAAGGACTGGAAAAGGACTAGTTTGAAATAGTTCTTCCCTGGAATTTTTATTTGCTCCAAGCATAACTTAACTAGAAGAATATGGAAACCTCCGTGCAAATGGCAAAGAATGTCTCTGTATGTGCATGAGCATGTATT